AATAGAAGATAATTTAATGCCAAAAATAGTAAACCTTGCCCCAGTTCCATATGACATTTAGTTTTTTTCTATCCTGCCCGCAAATTAAGCAAAATGGTAAAAATGAAAACCGAGAAATCGCGTTAAAGTTTTCGCTTTCTGCCCAATCGCTCATATATCTGCTAGACGTTCGGTCACTATTTCCCTTCTAGCTTCGAAAATATTTCGAATTCTTGTCTAGTTTTTAAATAAATTTAAGATTTTATAACTTATTGTTAGGCTTTTAAAACAAAAATCCGATTCAATAAATAAAAAAGATACTACAAAAAAAGTTGTATCCGATCACCTGGAGAATCAGGACAAACATTTTCCGCGACGTGTTTCTGTGAGTGGTGCAAGTCGAAAATGCAGCGTTCGTTAGAGCAGAGATTCGTACACGATGAAAACCTGTGTGAAACTCAGTAAATCTGCGACAGAGATGATTGGTATGATCAAATAAGCTTACTCAGATGTTGCTTTAGCAAGAAGTGGTGTGCTTCGGTGGCACCAGGCCTGGTTGGAGGGCCGGGAAGAGATCGCTGATGAATGTCGGCGTCTCTTCGCCCAAAAAGGAAAGAATGAAATCTATGGTGAAAACGATTTTGTTGCTCCTTGACCGTCATAAGCCAAGTTTTACTTAGGAGACTCAAACGAAGTTACCCTTGCGACAAGACATCGCAGCCGATGGGAAGTTACACCACGTCAACGCCCCGCTCACACCGCTTTCTTGTGAACAGCTACCTAACCAAGGAAGGCATCCCAACGCTTCCGCAGTCGCCCTACAGCCTAGATATGGCCAAAAATAATTTTAATTACAAAAAATATTATTAGTAAAAATCTAAAAATGTATAATAACAAACATTTAAAAACGTTGTCAACACATTTATTTGCGTTTCGTGAACAATATTGCTAATAGTGCAACTAGTGAATTCCTTTCCACCCTTTCGTAGGGACAACGTAGTTGTTGATGATCCTAATGTTCAATTTGTGTCAAATGAAAAGGTGTAAGTTCGATAGCGAACATTTGTAGAATTTCAACCGGGAAATTCACTTCCCAACGGTGGAATTTACCTCGTGAAATATAAAAATTGTTTTGATTTTAACCAAAAAGAATGTATAGAATTACACTTTTGTCAACTGATCCACTAACGAATATTACTGATCAACCGAGAAACAAATATATTTATGCCATGTGATTTCTAAATTTCCTATACATTTTTATAATTTTTATATTTTCATAAACATGTTCATTATGAGTTAAAAAAGTTTTTTTATTTATGATATATACATATTATTTCCTTAGATAATTCATGCAATGACGACATGAGCGAATCAAACAAACATAGAATTGTGTGAACCAGGGAAATAAGTGGATATATAATGTACATAGTGTGTAGATATGTTTAGAGATCAGCACATCTTGATTTGTTTGATTTGTTTTGTACCATTCATTTTAACACCGAAATAAGCAAAAATGGTTAAAAGGTAAGAAACCTATTTTTCGCCTAAACTTTCGCATATTATCAAATCCACATTTGAGTAAAAAATATATTTGGACGATCCTCTCCATCTAAACAGTTATTTTTTTTATTTATTTCTGCTAAGTAGCAGCGAATACCCTCTACTTGAGGGTTTTCAGCTTTGTTAGCCGTCCAATAGAGCATGATATATAATTCAATTTGCTCCTTCTCGTTGTTTTATGTTCACCCAGAGAACTGTGTTTTTTTCGTTTCCACAAAGGTTTATTTCTTACAAATGGCATTTTCAGGGAATTATGTGTACATACTATATGTGAATGCAAGCATGTTTAAACAAATTGATAATTTGAAACAAGTAAAGGACGATAAACATCTAAACTGTCTGTTGGGCTGGTCGTATGTCATAATTCCTTATTGCCCCATCAAATATTTTCCATAAGTTGAAATCCTATTCAACATTTAGTGTCGGACATCTCGTAAACTCCAAACAACAAGTTGGATACAAAAAAAAGTATTTATATAAAAAGATAAATTGGGATACACTTAAAATACGTAAGTTTAAAATGCCGACAAGTCAAAATACCGACAAAATTTAAATCAAAACACCGACAAACTAAAATGTCGGTATGGGAAAAATATTTCTATTGTCCGCCGTTATTTCTATCGAAGCACAGAAAGGTAATTTTACTGACTAAGGGTTATGATCCTGAGCGTGTTCGTGGCCACATTTTCTTGATTTATCGGTATTGTGATACATCGGTATTTTGATTTGTTATACATCCATATAAATAGCTTATTTTGTGAAACAATAAAAAACTTATTACTATATTTGAATACTTTACATTTTATACGAAACGCAGTGACAAGTACCCAATATAAGAAAAACTTATAGAGCAGCCAAAATCAAATTTATATCAGGTTTTCCTCGATCGACTAACACGATTACAATGTCCTCGGGAACACATAACCTGATCAGTGAACCGAAAGAAAACAATATTTTCTCTGATCAATCAAAATTTTGCGACCCAAAAAATATCCGGTTAGATCCTTGTTGCTGCCAAGGTACGGTTAAGCACCTTTATCGAATCAATGTCAGGATGAACCGATTAATATACAAGGATATCCTTGAGAACCAAATGTTTCACCATGCCGAGTAAAATATTCAAAACTAGTGACAAAATGGGTCGTAGCTCGATACATAATGTCCTAAAGTGGCCAGCTCAATTAAAGGATCTTAAGATATATAGAAAAGAGATGAATGGAGACAAAAACAAATTGTTCGAGTTGCAAAACAAGACAGGTAAAGCATTCGACAGAAATAATCTTATAGCTTCTATGCCAAATATATGCAGTGAGAACGTTGAGGGTGGTGTAGTTTGTAGAGTTCTGTTATGAAGAAGAGAATGTTCCTAAATAACGTGGTGTAATTTTATTTTCTAAGGTCCGCTTTTTCAAAGATTCCTTAAAATAATTTACATTTCAGTACAACTAACATTAGCGCCTTCTCTATTCATTAACATCCTCTGGCAATACAGCGGCATTGTTAGTAGGATGAGTAGATTTTTAAAATAATAGTGGGGTTGAAGAGGAGAGCAAAAGCTTTATATTATGAGAGAGAGAGAGAGCGAGTATCCAAATTTTCTCAAATAAATTATACATTCATTACACATAACACATTTGCAGGTATAGCCGATAATATGTAATGCTGGAAATAACCGACTAATTCCAACAGGTATTCAGGTTTTACTCCTAAAAGGGTTTTGAAATATTTGAAAGGAAGTTGTTAGAAAGATATATATAAGTTTGTGACAGAGCATTGAAGTTATTATAGATATAAGACATAAATATTCATATTAAGACGATATATATACTTTCGATATACATTTTTTTTACATGTATWWGTGTTTATATATACATATTTATGTATGCATCGATTTTAGGGAATTTCAATACAAAAATACATACGCACATTCTATATTGGTATCAAAAGCTTTTCTATGTACGTGAGTACAATTATATGCGTAAGCATAAGTATAATACATGTATGTATACATTCATATGTGCTTTCCTGCGCATTGAGGCTAAAAAAGCATTTTACGAGAGAGTAACTGTGTAAGAAGTTCTCTCGTAAAGTTGAAATAGTAAATTTCTCATTTTTCGGTAAAAGCTACAAAAATGTCCACCCATTAAATATGTACACATTTTCACAATCCGTTCATCTTGAGTTTTCATAGAGTTCAAAAGGTGCGAGCCAATTTCAGTGCCTCAGAGCGCACCATAGTTAACGAGTGAACACACCGAAAGCCTAGTGATGTGCTCTTCGTGCGGTTAACACAGAACAAACGCTGAAAATTCATATAAAAACTTTATACCTATCGAAATAAAAGTTTTATTTAGCTAAGCATAATTATTTCATTTTCTTTCGTGAACAAAATTGTAAAAATTGAAAATTTATTTAGATGTCAAAATACAAAAGAGATTCAGTTCACGAGAGATCGCAAATATTTATTAATAACAAAACGAAAACGCGAAAATTAACTAAAATTTATATGCATACAAAATTAAGAATGAATATGTGTGTTTCTTATTATTCATTATTTTAAATACTGGTAATTTTAAAAGTGAATTGGAAACAATGCTTGTAAACCCCTTAAACATAGAAGTCACAGTAAAATCAGTACAATTTGGGTATAAAAAATTTTCTATACCCAGTATGTAGAAAAAAAAATCAAATCACACTGTCACGGACTTGTACTTTATAGTATACTTATAGATATGTGTATATTATAACCAAATACTGCGCGCGAGCGGGGGGAACGATCAGTATTGAGCGACACAAATCAGCAAGGCAAGTGTGAAGCAAATGTGTGTGTGTGTGGCAGATAAGATGGAAAATTTGTTGTGAAAAATACGGAATAATTTTTGTATAATAATAATTTTTAAGGCGAATACGCGCCTCAAAAATTTTCGTATCTTTTTGATAGGTAGTATTTAAAATTGTTCCAAACTAATATGTAATAAAATAGTAAAGAGTGGCAACGCAGAGGTACCATACGAGTACTATTATATGTACATATGGATATAGGTATACATGTATCCTAAAACCCAAAACTATATACATATACATATATGTATGTACGTGATTAAAGAAAATTTAAACACTTAAACAATTGCAGCATAAAAATTCAAAGGTGAAAAAATATGTAATAAGTTATAATAAAATTATAAATTATGAATAGTTATTTAGAATTCTACCCGTTTTAACTATGCACATAGTATGTATGTATGTACATACCTGGAACAAATCTATGCTTATGTACGTATGTGTGTATATACATACATATATATAAGGTTTCAATATCGACGAGTAAAAAGTGATACGTTGTAAACGGATAAACATTTTAATAAAATATGGGGATCGAGATATCTATGTTATTGAAATTGGTTTTTAAGGATTATCCTAAAAGTGAACATGTTAAGATAAATATAGAGTGAGAAACAAACCTATTGGTACTGGTGTTCCTTCTCCAACAAATAAGTGATTATCTTTCCTCCAATACAAATAGTAATAATATAAAAAACGTCATCGAAAAAGAAATACAATATATTTGCTACGTTTGCCGACCTTAAAGACCACAAATTCCTTGGAGAGGATATGAATGAAGTGACCGAACGAGAATACAAGCGGAAAGCGGAGTTGTAGGAAACCATAAAACGGCGTTAGAGTGTGGAATGCCAACTATACTCAAAACAATCCACCGAAAGAGATAAGAAAAAATGAATATAACGGTACAAATCCATTGATTTAATGAACGAATCGGTTCTCGGCGAATTCGAATACTTAACAACGAGCGTACAAAAGGCGAATAAGTAAACGAGCGAGCTACAGATCTATAAAAATAGAATAACCTACCACAATCGCTATTTAATAACGAATAAACCAAGCAAACTCGAAAACTATATTAAATTAATCTTAACAATATACACCTGGACATACATATATACATTTGTAAGCGTACATAAGTTTATTTGTATGTATATGTACAGTGAGCCAACCACATTCCATACATATTTTTTCCATTTATTCAATTATATGCTTATCATTATACCAATAAACAAGCTGGGCTTTTATAGGCATACATACATAAAATTCGATAACTCGCAGGATTTATGCATATAATTAATTTAAAAAAGTAATAGAAAATAAAATTATTACACATGCTGATATAAAATTCTAATTTAATTTTGGTAACATAACCATAAATATATTTAGCGTTGTTTTTCGATCCATTAGTAAAAATTGAGTTTCCTTAATCCAACGTTGTAAATCTAATCTAATAATAGAATCATTTCCATGCCCACAAAACGGTATTACTTAAATTTATTATATGCTATAATACTTCAAGGTAAGAGATTACACCATATCTTTTTTAAAAAGTAAGTGTGGCCGGGCCTTTCAATAACAGATATTCACCATTCAGTATTTTTCGTTATTAAAAAGTTTCTGCCAAATTTGTATTCAGCTTGCTATGTAATTTTCTAACTTTACCAAAAAAAAGATATATCTGCAACAATTACGCTATAAAAGTAAGATTAAATGGAAAGAGTGGAATCTATACCAATGGGCCGATGAATATGTCGTATTATCGAAAATAAAGAAATCCGTCTCGTTTTACATTGCTCTCATTTATCGTATATAATGGCTTCCGTTTTTATAGCATAATTGATAAAGTCGCTGCAGATCTTCATCAAAGTACTTAATTTTCATAAACTACGGTTTATTCAACAGACCGTCAAATGTTTATTGGAGAAAGAATTTAAATTAATATTAGAATAAAACTGAATCGAATATGTTTAATACAAAATGAGTTCTAGAAATCTACTAAACAACTTCCGTTCAAACTCGAACAATTGGAAAAATAATTAATCAGAGACCTTCAACATATCTTACAATGTTAACCTGTCTTTTAAGACAACGTTTTTATTTAACGTGTCATATTTATAGAATCATTCAAATAGACTCCACGACTATTTTGACAGGAACGAATTCGATTAATCAAATTTTCGAGTACTTTTTCCACTAATTTATCGGACCACTAAGATGATAATAAGAATCGTCGGAGAAGATTTTCTGAGAACCCGTTACCGTTTTCAAATTTTTCCAAGGCAAAATAACCAAATTCGAAACAGATAATTATTTTGAAAATTAGAAAAAGTGCAATGACTCATTGAATAAATGCGTAACAAGCATTAAATTTCAGTTCCAAGATGGCGCTGAAACGCTTTATAGGTTCGGCTGTAAAAATTGGACAAGGTTCGTGGCACCTCCCACCCGAGTGCATATGGCCAATTTTTTACTAAACGTATCGGTCAATCTGTGAGGTCTAGTATTGAAAATCGGAGAGAATGGTTTTGTGATCACTCTATGGTATATTCAATAGATAAAGACAGTTTTCATTTCACAATTGATTAAAAAATCTTTAATAAAGTAACATGTGTTTTGTTAAATATTTCCTAAAAATAACGTATATGGAAAAATAGGGTTTTGCGAGTTGGCTAGTTAAATTTATAACAACATTTTAAATATTTTTAATGTTGCAAAAGCTTTATAATACTTTAATTTATACAGAAAATTTCAAATTATTAGGATTCATATAGTAGATATTCAATTAATACATTCTCGAGGGCAAAGGCATTTAAAATAGATGAAGAAAAGGAACGGAGAAAAATATATAGAAAATAGTAAGTAAGTTTTACGGCTAATATATATACGAAGTGATCTAAATATACTTGTACATGTTACACATAATTGATTTCTGTTTGTGGTTGCAGGTACCGGCCTAAATGTCTGGATGAATAGTACAAATGGATGAAAATGCCGCTGTCGCTGTCACATTTGTTGTCGTCGCCGCCATTTTATCATCACTTTTATCGAGCACAAACGCAGCAGTACAAAACATTAAGCCCAAAAAATCAGTCAATAAAGCAACAACTGCTTACACAAAGGTCGAAACTAAAAGCCATCAACGGCAAGACAATAGAGCACCAACTAGAATTCAAAGCCGCTCAAATAGTCAAAATATACTTATTAGATATTCAAAAATATATAATAGCAGTAATAGAAAAGAAGTTACCAAGGCCATTGAAAAAATTGGCTGCAATTTCTGTGGCCAGCAAGAAGAATTGCTTCCAAAATTCTTCTTCGTACATTGCATCAATAAAAATATCAGGAGTCAATGTGAATTATCCAATATGATGTTGAGCAGTTGAGATAATTGTCAGCTGTTATACTAAAAACAACAAAAAAGTAAAAAGGATTATAAGAGATAAACTAAAAAAATTAAGCCTCAAAAAAGAAGCAGCAGAAAACTGTTCTAAGATTACAAAAAACTTTTCATTTCGCGTATCGTCGATATCTTCGTTATATTGGTCTGCTGCCAATTGCGATTCAGCGATACGCCCCATAATCGAAAGTATCCTTATAGAATGCGCAAAATGGCGGATGGTGGACATACATTCGTAAAGAAGACTTTTGGAAAGCCAACGTATTGTCATCATTGTTCAGATTTGATTTGGGGTATTATTCAGATCGGTTATATATGTGAAGGCATGTATTATTAATTACCTAATTATATACAATTATATGAATGTATATATATATATGTATATGTTTGTAATACAATTAACAACCATACGTACTACACGAGTCCACAGTCATTCCCTTTTATCCCATGTTTATGTAATTAGCATAGCAAGACTAATCTCATTCTTTTAAATTGTTTAGTTCATTACTCGAATATTATATTCATGTGCCTATAAGTCCAACATGTGTAATAATTACAATATTGTTATTTTTTTTATAGTGTGTAATTTCGTCATACACGATCGTTGTGTTTCAAATGTTGTTACTCCATGCTCTGGCATTGCTCCATGTATTATAAAGGTAAGTTACGTTTTGTTAATACTTTTAAAATTATATCCGTGATTTGGAATTGAATTTTTTAAGAAATAAAAAAGTTTGAAAATCGTTTTATTTGCGGAAAATTTCACATATCATTAAACATTATTTGATATAAATCATAATTTATTGCTTATTATAATAAGAACTATTAGTCAACAACATTAAAGAAATTAGCAAATAAAATATAATTTATTACTACATTTTAATTTGTCGCAGGCTAAATTTAATCTTATCCAGCTGTGCTTGAATAAGAAACAATTACCGATTCGAGGACTCAGTCTTCCGTCTACGACTTAACTTCAATGTTGCCAATGAATGACGGTGTAATATTTGAAAGGATACTAATTTCAAACAATGCCATAATTATGGTAAACTATCGTCATATACGTCGATATCATAATCTTAGTTTTGTCTCTCAAACTGTTAAAAAAAACTACCAGTGACTATTGAAATTGTTGAAAAATTAGTTAATGGTTTCACATTTGTATGTTTTACAAATAATTGTACACACCCTAATCAAGGAAATATTTTATTTACACAGTACAATTGTATTTCAATTTAGTTCAGGGTAGGTAGGGATTTTTTTTACCTTGACAACCTTACTTTCTATTAAAAACCGAAAAACAAAGTTCGACCCTGGCACAAACATTTTTTTGTAGTTGCTATTCGACACATTAATATCAGTTGTTCCGAAAAATATGGATTTTGTACTCATACTGAATAAGAAAGGTTGTCATGTCATCATGAGGTTGAGATATTGGTGACTACCATTATTTATGAATAACAGATGACTTGGTTCCAATATTAGTCAAATCCAAAAACTTGTTTCTTCGCAATGCAGGTCGAAATAAATGCTAGCTTTTTGTCACCTTGTGGTATTGACAGTCAATAACATATGTATGTACAAATATGTTTCATCACTATAGGGCGCCAACTCCGGATGGTGTATTATTATTCTTTTATTACCGCATGATCTAAACAAATTTTGTAATAAATTAATTTAAAAAGTACTGATTATGGACCCTGAAAGTTTTATATACGAGTATAGTATAATATCATGTTTATTAATAGTTTAATTAAGTAATAAAATATCCATATTTAATTTCATTATAAATTTTAACTGCATTAACATATTTTTTTAAAGAATCCCGTCGCGCATTGCTGGTCAGAGCCAACTCATCATAAAAAGAAATTCTGTACCGTTTGCCGTAGACGATTAGATGATAGTCCAGCAGTACATTGTTTAAGTAAGATTGTCAAGCTAAGAATTTAAAGACTTATATCTTATAATTATTTGTCTTTTCTATTCTTCTTGCAATCTAGTTTGCGAATATTTCGCACACATTGAGTGCCAAGATTTTGCTGTGCCTGATTGTACTGAAAATGCGACGTATGTGCCCGGCAAAGAATTGCAGAGTGTGAAACATCAGGTATGTATGTAAGATTTGTGTATGTACATATGTATGCAAGTGTTTTAAGCTAGTTGAGGGATAATGAATAGAACCGCACGCAGGAGCATTTACCCTCAAAAACCGGACAAAATTTAAAATTACAAACTTCAGCGATGGTACTCAAAATGGTTTTTTTTTGGTACCTAAATAACCGTTCTACAATGAACCAATTAAATGAATGACCTTCAGGCCGCTATATTGCAACACAAGTAGTCGAAACCTAGACTTCGTTCAGAACGCACGTGCTTATTCGCGAAACTCTCCATTGTCTCGAAATTGCAAGCGGTTTTTTTTTATTGCGTGAACGGAATTCTTGGAAATATTTATTTTATGATTCAGGACAACATGGTATGTATTTAATATTAATGATATAAAAATTAATTTAGTTAATGCATTATTATGTTTTTTTTCGGGAAAACAATGAATCATTAAAAAAACAATTTTTTTTTTTAATTTTTTAGAAATTAGTTTTTTTGTTATAGTTTCGGGCGAGGTCGAGCTATGAATTATTTTTCCTAGTAAACTGCAGGGAACTCCACTTGACCTTGCTCCATATGATTGCCGATTGTATGCAAGGTACCTAAATGAAACCAAGGGAACTTTTTTTGAGTATGTGGCATATTAGTAGCATGTGGGATGAGCAAAAATAGATAAAATCTGGTCGGCCCCCTTCTCAAATATATTCAATATAAAATTTTCGGTTGCACCCGAACTCATTTTATTTTAATATATTGTGTTATTATATTTAATCTTACATTTTTATTAATTTTCATTCATAAAATCACTTTAAATAATTTTGTCCGGTTTTTGAGACCAAATGCTCCTATGTGCGCCGATTGCTACTTCAGCTTTGATACATCACTTTTTTGTAAAATGTTTTTTTTTACACGAACGCGAATGGTTTCACAGTACTTTTAAAAATGCTGAGGCATGGCATTTGGTCCATTCTACCATTTATCCTCTTTTATGGCTTAACGCTGTCCCAGGAAAACGCTCCCCAGACCATCACGCTACCACCGCCATGATTGACGGTTTTTATGTTTTATACTTCGTATGATAGGTTTGCCATTGGATGCAATATGATCTATATTTATCTACTAAGTCTATGTATAAAAAATGGGTGGAATCGGAAACCTAATATAAAGATTTGCGAACTTTTGGCTGACTTTATTCTGCATATAGTGGCCAATATTTGAGTTACATAACGAAAATTATAGAGCGTGTTTTCCTCATAACAGTGTATCTTTGTATTTGAAATTGTAAGAGGTACTTTAATGAAACCAATGAAATGTTCCACTATTTATCATGAGAACTATATCGGTATTCTGCTTGAGACGATTGTCTCATGTCTCTAATTGTCACAATCGTAATTTAATGATTATGTTAGTCAGGAGTCTCTTTTTGGTATTCTGAGTACAGTACACTACTATACTATATCTGCCAGAATACCAAAATGAGACTCCTGACTAACAGAATCACTAAATTACTATTGTGACAATTAGAGACATAAGACAATCGTGTCAAGCGGAATACCGATATTAATTGTATTCAGCTGGAAATTCTACGTCGGTTTGATGTATCAGAAATTGTGGCAATTTTTAAATATATTGCCTTCTGTAGTATTACAACATAATAAATTAAAGATTTAAAAGTTAAGCAAATTGTAATATAATTTAATATAATATTGTTCACCTATATAATAAAAGCATCATTGGAGGGAAGGTAATCTACCCCCCACGTCTAAGTGCGCCTATTGTAAAAAGACATGTTGGTCATCAGAATGCCTCACAGGTAAAGGTAGATATATACGTAAATATAAAAATATATTAATTAATAAAAAATTATTGTGGATTGGAAATGTTCAGGCTATCGCTGCGAATGGTGCGGTATGACAACGCATGGGGGATGCCGCACGTACCTGACAACCGAATGTAATTTTGGTGTACTTCAACCCATATATTTACCTCCACATTCGGTCTCGATTCCGCGCACCGAGGTGCCCATAGAAGCTATTATTGGCGTACAAGTTAAATCGAAAACCACATTATTACGAGATTATTCGTGCCGTAAGTATTTACTCTTAAAAATTTTAGATATATTATCGAAGTCAATAACATGAGTTGTGGATAAATTTTTCTAATCGAAATTAAAAAAAAATCGAACTTCTTCGCAAGATAAATTACAATTTAATGCAGTATTTTAGCTGTGTTAGGATCAACGTGAATTTTCGTTTATTGAATGAAATGGTGAAACATAATATGCCCACCACATTGGTTTTCTTAGTTTAAGTGGTTGCTCCTCCCCACTCTTACTCCTTGTATCAAATTAGAATTTTGTTTCTTACTTAGATTCCGTTAAAACTTTTTATTTACTAATGTTTTTTTCTTCTTCATTAATGCCGTTTCTTATGTTATGTGAGCGATAGTCCGATTTCACTCAAATGTAATACCATTATTCATCCTTTCACAGAAAGAAAATAAATGCAATAGATCATTCCATATTCTTATATCTAGTTTAGTTTTCGGTATTACGTACTATCGATACGTAAACAGAATTAAAATATTATACTGTTATATATATTTTACGTTATGTATATTTTTAATAATGAATATATTTTTCAATATTCATGCACACTATTGACCATTATTGAATTATTCGATTCTAGGATAGTAATTTCTATGGTGATGAATATCGTGGATATGGATAATGTAAACAGAAATTCCTGGATTAATTGCATTTATATTTCTTTAAGAATGTTCATTTCAAAGTATGATCGATGAAAATCACTCTTAATTAGATATTTCCGAACCATGAATGCTTTGTTAAACTTAGATATAGCTAAAAGTTGTTTCAAGTTCGAATTAATTCTAAAAGCAACTTTGTTGATGTTGTTGTTGTTGCGGCAAAAAGGTGGTGGAATTTTCGCTGCTAACGATTAGATTTTATAAACTGTCCGCGAACGTAAGATATTTTGAAATAGCAAAACTTATCTTCAACTCAACATGAGCGCGATTATGTTACTTATAAGTATGTCTTAGAAATTAAACTATATTCAATTATTGAAACTGATCTAAACATGAGGTTGAAAAACCGCTTTGTAATGAGGAAATATCATAAATATCTTAGCGGAAGCAATTTTCATATAAAATACAATTATGACATTTATACTCATCAGCATGATTCTTTTATTTCCTGCACTCGCAACCGATATTATTCATGGTTTTTATGTTTAAATTAAGTATCGGAAGATACCATCAGCATCAAGTCGATTTCGTGTAGAAACGATTAAAAATTCATTTCCTAATTTTTTTATATATCAACTTATATCAGTTGTTTTTGAGGAAAAAATACATACTCGTACTTGTTTTTTTCTATAAATTGTTTATCAGCGCATTTAATCAATTTTAGAAATACCCAACATTTTCCAACCATTTTTGTATTTATATATTTTGTATTTAATTTTAATAAAGTATGCATATAACAAATCAATTCGAAGTTATCAAATTTCTATAAAAGGACGATCTACGAAAAGTTAAGAAACAAAGCAGTTGAAGTATATTGTCCAAATGTCGCAAGTCGCTAGAAATGCGGTTTAACGATTGCTAATAAATTTTATAATCCAACTAAGGATTTAGTTATAATTGAGAAAGACTTTGTGCGACATCTATACGAAACACTTAATTTTAGCGCAGGACCGACAGAGCATGCTTACCTAGGAAATACGAGTTTTATTGAATTGTTACTTTTTGACTCTTACGTTGTCTATAACTTTAAGTTATAATTTTCAAGTGAATTGATATTTTGGATTACTTAGAATGCTGACAATTCTTCTATTAATTGCAGACAAAAATCTTTTATCATTTCGCTTATTTTTATATTTAGTGGTTCTTATTTTTAATTTCATTTTCCTTTTTAAAATTAAAAAAAAACTCGAAAATATAGCTGATTTTGGGACAATAGAGTGCCCAGAAAATACTACTTCCGTAAATTTCATTACTCCCAATGAAGGCTCTATAACAGATGCAATCAACGAAATAAATAAAGTCCCCGAACCAAGCTTAAAAGAGATTCTGTTCATTGAAAGACAACGTCGCAAGAAATCAAAGGAAAATTTTCTACTATCATCATCCACATCATCAATATCCACCAGCTTCACACCAACGCCATCTTTACCTTTACTCACACTCCCAGTAGTTGAGAAAACTCCTAAGTATTCTGAGCTCAAAGAAGATGAACAATGCAAGTGTATCAACATACCTGTATATATAAGTGACGATAAAGCTGTAAAGACTGTCAGCGGAACACCTCCGAATCAAAATGTGACTTGCAATATTCAAAAGTCTTCGTCTACATCCTCTTCCCTGCAACTATTATATACGAATTTGTTGCGTAGCATGCATCCAATCTCGCGAAAACACTTATCATCCAATACAGACGAGGATTTCGATGTTTGCGATATAAATGGTAGTGAAGTGAGTGAAGATTATCATAACATTAAAGTTAAACAACTAGACTCTAGAGATCATAGAATCGTGGCGAAAACGTTACAACGACAATGTCAAAGTCTCTATGAAACTACCGATACGGAAGGTGTTTTAACAACTGTGGACAACATTGGTTATCACTCTAACATAAATCAGATTAGTAATTTAAGCTATAATAGAGGTAATATTAAAACATCTGTAGAAAGCCATTGTAATTTAGATGAAAAACTAGAAAATGCTCAAAACGTAATAATAACAGCATGTGCACTCAAAGCGTGTCAAACAATCAACGCACCTACACTAGTTACGCAAACGCTTACGGCTCCAAAAGATGGCAACAGCAACGCACATGAACAATTTTCTAAGACTGGCGCTTTATTCAAAGCGAAAACGTACAACCTCAGCCCGTTTAAGGGTGTCCCGAACAAAGGCGGTTCTTTGAGTTGTTCGCCTAATTCCAGTGATTGCTCGTCACATTCGCCTGTGCCAGAGAATCCTTTAAAAATGTATCTTTCGGCAGTGAACCGTAGTAAATCATTCCAAGAACCTGGAGTCAAACAGTATACACGTAAAAAAGACTACACGCGACTCTTTCGACGTCGCTCAAAAAAACGTACTAAAGATTCAGTGCTCATAGGCACTAAAACATCGAAAAGTGGCTTCAATTTAGATACCACAGGACAAAGTATAGAAATTACCATACAAGATGAAGATGGTAATTATCAACCGTACGATGATGATTATTTGACTTTAAAAGATGTGCGCAGTGGACTTAGCCGTAGCGGCTACACCGACGATGATGAAGATTATGAGGACGGGTATGACTTAAGAAGGCACGTGAAAGCAGAATATCAAACTCCAGCGTATAGTAGTGAAGCCAGCAGTCCTGTAAATTTTCACATGTATTTAGATGATCAGCCGCATAGCTTTACGAGTGATGACGCCACAGCAGGCGATATAAGTGATGGTGGGAGTAGTCGCAGTCGATCACGCGTTAGTGACAATGAAGAACACGTATTCGGACGGTTGTTACGACGAATGCAGTGCCTATCGCATGGATGGCGGAAACATCGTTACTACAAACGCAGAGGTGATTAATGTATCCTGTTGTTTTCAATATTGGTATTTTCCTAATCATTGCCTAATTAACTTTGGTTTTTTTTACCTTTTTTTTTATGACGAATTCAAGTTTACTTCGTGTTTTACTTTCAATCATTTGTGATAGAAATTATGAATGATAACAAGATCAAAAACGAAGCACCTGCATGAAATTTAGTCAGATATGACATTTTGTCCCTCACTAATCAGATTCGCTTAGCTTAGAGATTCCCCAATACTCGTTCATACTTGTAAATGCATATAGGGTAAAGTTAAATTTGGCCAAAGCAAACAAGTATGTACTTGTTTCGCTCGAGGCTCCATATTGCATTTTTGTTAAATTCATTATGACTGCTTGTATTACTAATAAGTTGACTATGAAAATTTAAAACAATAAAAATATGTGCATGTAAATATTCTTAATTTTATTATATTTACAACGGTAATATTTGGAATTACAGCCCTAATTTACTTACATGTTGAAATCATACTAAACCTGCGCACATATTACTAACATTAATGATATTACAAATAATATCAATAAATGTAATAATATATATATGTGTATATGTATATATTAATATATGTAGGTACGTGTATGAATATATTTCAACAAAGCTAACTGTGATTTTCTCCAAAAGAAGCAAAACACAAAGAGATTTTTCGTATTTGTATTTATTAATATTGTCTTTACATTGAATTAAGTGCTTCACAATACAATAGATAACTCAATGATTAAGGAAGGTAACGAAATAAGAATTAATAGCGATTATTGAATGTTAGTTCGGCTCAAGCTTTGCCTTATTTGGACATTAAATTAGTGTCAACTCAAAACATATTTGATGTATTTAATCCTGGTGTTCACCTTCTTTTCCATAAATAATTTTTCATCTTGACTTTGAGAACTTATCAATGTTTGTAACATTAGAGCGTACCGATATTTTTTTTTTTTCAATAAAATAACGTATGTGGGAAATATTCTATGAATCATTCTGAACAATTTTGGCTAAAAGACTATGGGTCTAAAAACGGTTTCGAGCCAGGGATAAGTTTAAAAAATCTGAATAATCGGTTGTATGTCCGATTTTGGCTAATTGTACTGTATGAAATTTTTACATACTGGATATATTTTCACTTCCTAAATTTTTTTTCGCTATATTATACAATGCGAATGTGGTTACAGTTCTATTCTACCAATCCCAATACATAGAAATTGTAATATATATGAGACTGGATCATTTTTCATTTGTTCGCACATATATACATACATACTAGGGGATACGGCCATGCGTTGCTGTGGTATACATTTTATACTATTCAATACAGGGGAAAATTTATTTACCAATAAAGGCGAAATATTAACGGTATAAACATTTAAGGGATTGCACTTGAGGTCTAATTTTGAATATGTTTATACAAATACATTTCATTGGAAATAATAACGAATTTAAGGCTGCCTTCTCAATGTCTGGTTACCAGCGTTCTGATCAGTTATTAACTGAGTTGTCCGCGTCCATATAAGAAGGCATTCTTTATTTTTGAATTGACTTAATTATCCTATCTTTTAAGTTGGTTCGAACTGAACATAGTGTTCTAAATTTTACTAAAATGGTTCAGTAGTTTTGGCGTCCATCGCGGACAAACAACGTGACAGGTATATAAAGATGTTTGCCTTACGACAAGTGAAGAATGACAATCTCAGAAAGTGGTAATATAGCGGCACCGTAAACTTCTTCGTTGCCGTTTGTATCTTGATTGTTCTGCACTCATCTCAAATTATAATTGAACTTTTTATCAACAGTGTAGTTATTCCGCTATTTTTTATGCTAGATGCTAGATATTAAAAATGTCTTACCGGTTCCACATTTTGTGTCCTAAAAAAACCGCCTCGTTCAGTAGCACAATCAATATAATCCATGCAAATTGATGTACTTTTACAACAGCTTTGTGTTGTTATTATTATCATTATTATGTTTTAAGAAAAAAAAAATTGTACATGATTCTTACAAAAAAAAAAAAATAAATTTTGAACAAATGATTATAATTTGAAATATAATTTTTGTATATACGAATTGTATTGAATTTTAACAAAGAGAGATCCTATTTCCTTTTTTTTTAAATTTTTAGCAAATCGGTTAAGCCGTTGTTGAGTTATAAATAGTGTAACTCACACGACTTTCTTTTATATACATACATATTTAAATGTTTACTGAATTTATAGCTTGCGCGGACGGACGGACAAGTTACCTCGATTTCAACTCTGTTGCAAATGAAAACGTTTCAATTTGACAAAAATCCCCATTAACATTTATTGAATTCGTTTGTTACAAAAACTGTGATAAATGAAGAACCGCTCGACCGATTTTATGCAACTTCACATAAACTGTCTACTAGTCCCAACAAAGCCTAAACATTTGGCTTGGATAGGTGAACTCGTTCTTAAGTTATAAAATTAACATATTTGTATTTATTTACAAATAACAAAAACATCATCAATTTCTGTAGATGTCCTGGGTGGTTACATACGAAATTCGGCGATCCTTACCAACACTTTAAATTTTGGACAATTAATTAATTCATAATATATATGTATAACATCATAGATGTAAATTATATGCTTAGCTTGCGACTACTAGCTAGCGTGTGGATAATAAGCACTTTTTTAATTTAAATCATGTCGAGAAATGTGTGCGACCGAACTTAAGAACTTGAAGTACGTTGGAAGGGTATCTTTATTTCTATATGTATTTTATAATTATCGTGCCATGGACAAAAATAATTATTACTATATTAGACATTATGTAGGACACATCCACATAATGAACGAACCACCATATCAAGGAACCTCTAGGCTTTGAACAAAACAATCATAAATACATATAAGAATGAATTTATTTATACTAATCTATACTTTAGTATTAAGTTATTTCATAATTACATTATATTAACATAACTAAGTTTTCGTATGTGTATCTGTAGTCTTTGAATATCGTGGTTGCTAACCTATTATAACTAATATATATATATATATATATTGTTCTAGTTATATAATTTTATTATGATCGGTTGAATTAAAGCTAGCATAAGCGTTGAAAATATTTTATTGGATGCATTTTTTAAATCATTATATTTTAATTCTTGGGTAGCACGAAGTATATCTGAAGAGTTTAGTAGTGGAGACACGCCACGCTTCAAAGATGAAGAGCCAGGTATTAAAACTGATACAATGCACGCTAGTGCCGTTAGTGGCGGAAGTGGTACGTCATCACACTATCGCCCAGAATCCTCACACAAATCGGAAAAATCAGACAAAGATAAAACCAAAAAGGAAAAAGAAAGTGAGGAAAAGGACATTGGTAAGAATTTAGAAACTTTTTTGTGTGTATTTTAGATATATGTTAGTAGTGTTAATTGTATTGTTTTATTTATTTTTGTTTACAGAAATGATCAAAGTTTTCGACGGTAACAACTCATTTAGACGGCAACTATACCGGGTAATTAGTGTACCGCGGACTTATACCTTAGAACAATTACTAACTACAGCATTGCGAGCATTTCATATAACTAGAGAACCCAGCGTAAGTAATTTAAAACAATTATCGCTAAGAATACATTAAATTAAAATAATAAAATATAAACAAATATTTTGCGTACTTTTATCAACTTTTTTAGGCATTTTACATGACTGACTTGTATGCTGCGTCTGGTATGGAGGATGTTCCATTGCAAGATCCAACGCCCGTAATGAACTTGACGCATTTGGAAGGAAAGAGACCAGCAATTTATCTAAGGTTTCACGATAAGGACAAAGGATATGTACGCGTTTATCCGGGTAAACTGCAATGCTCTTTAGAAGAGCCGTATGTTAATGTTCCTGTTGAAAATACAACCATTATTAAGGATTTGATTCGCGATGCTTTGGATAGATTTGGTTTACAAGATAACCAAATCCAAGATTACAGGTAAGAAAGCATTAAAAATATTATCATATTTTTCATTAAAAATATGAATTATGCTCAAGATGCTCTGAGGTATTACTAGACCGTGGGGTTACCGAAAGGATATTATCATGGAATGAGCGGCCATGGGATATAATGAAGCAATTGGGCAAGGATTCCATCAGACAAATGGAACTAATGCGATTTTATATGCAGCATAAGCAAGATCCGCATGGACCAAATATCGCGTTATTCGTTGGAAATTTACCACCAGGCTTATCACAACGCAATTACGAACAAATTTTGAATAAGTATGTTACAGATGAAAATAAATTTACTAGTATTGGACCTATCTATTATGAATATGGCTCAGTGGTACTATCATTTGAAGATGCTCAAAAGGCGGTAAGTTAGTTAAACAGTATACACAAACGTTTTGTGACCATAATATTAATATTTGGAAAGTAATAATTCCTGATTTTGATATTTACAATTTATTTAAATACGTTAGAAAGTTCCTTCTTGTATAATACTCAATCCAACACTAATACTAATAATTAAATATTTGTATTCATTAGGTTCGAGCTTTCTATAACTTACGTGAAACTATTATAGAAGATAAGAAGCTTTTAGTCATGCTCTTGCCAAATATAGAACCGAGCATGGTGCCATCAGATGTGCGGCCACTACTTGTATTTGTTAATGTTAAATCAGGCGGTTGTCAAGGCCTTGAACTAATATCAAGTTTTAGGAAGCTTCTGAACCCATATCAAGTATTCGACTTGGATAACGGAGGGCCATTGCCGGGGTATGAGAAATACATATGATTTTAATGCCCTCATTTAAATCTCATTTTATTTATAATAGATTGTATGTATTTCGGCAAATTGTTAACTACAAAATACTGGTATGTGGCGGTGATGGCACCATCGGCTGGGTATTACAATGCTTGGACAATGTGGGACAGGATTCCGAATGCTCAAGTCCACCTTGTGCCATAGTTCCTTTGGGCACCGGTAAGAAATATTACAAATCGATTTTAAATGATAGCCATGAAATGAGCTATGAAATACATTATATAATAGGAAATGATTTGGCCCGAGTACTTTGTTGGGGTTCTGGCTATACAGGAGGTGAAGATCCTCTAAATTTACTCCGTGACGTTATCGAAGCTGAAGAGATACGCCTGGATCGTTGGACGGTTGTATTTCATCCGGAAGACAAGCCAGAAGAGTCTGCATTAAAGGCGCCCTCAAATACAACGGGTAAGAAGAAGAAGGCTCACCAAGCACATCTATCGCAACAAACAAATCAGCACCATCAATTACCGGCCATAACATCGACTGAAATATCAGGTCATTTGATGTGCCAAATTTCACCTTTTTGTAATCGTTATTTATTATTATTATTTCTAACATTATTTAAAACTTCTCTTTCGAATACAAACTACATCTATACTTTGATGAGTAATTTTTAATAATTTTCAAGTTTTCATTATCTATATACATATCTCCAATCTGTCGCTCCTAAACTGGGAATTAATCTTCGTATACTATAATTAGGTTAAAGTATAGATATGCAAATATATTTTCTAATAACTCGGAAAATCGCTTAAATATGAAAATAAGAATAATAAGAAAAGATATTCCAGTAATTGTACTATAACAAAACAAACCAATCTTAAAAAGCTACTACATAATCGTTTTATACCAAATATGATTCAAGTCGGTGGAGTAGGTCCGGACTTACGGATTTCACCTAAATGTCGGTGGGGCCGTTTTTGACAATTTTGACACCGTCTCCACATAAAGCTCTCTTGTATTATGAATCACATCAATTTTTTCAAAACGTTTACCCACAGGTGCCCCTTGCTATTGCGATCGTCTATGCCAAATTACAGTTTCACATCTTACAAGTTTACTTTTTAAACGGTTTGTGGACGTGACAATGTTCAATTTCGTACATATACGAACTACACCTCCCCTTTTTCCCAAAGAACACGTGTGCCAAGTTTCTTGAAGATATCTTACATTTTATTGAAGTTATAGTTTGCACAAACAGACGGACGAAAAGACAGACATATGTATATAACTCCACATCTATCTCTCTTAGTTTTAGGCGATTCAAACAACAGTTATCCGAACAAAACTACTATACTTTGTAGCAACACTTGCAAGTGGAAAAATATACACAATTGGAAACCTCCTCCTCCTCCTCCTCCGAAAATACCACATCCACAACTAAAACATTAACATCGACCCATCACAAATTACTTGAAATCATATACATACTCAGAAAAATTATTATATATTTCGTAACTTCACCTAAAGTGTTTTGTATAATAATGGTTTTTTATCATATTTTTATAACGGGAAGGTTCTCCGCCCTACAATTTTCCATTTTGTTCTTATTATGCCTAAAAATAAACATAAGAATTAAAATGTCGCTTCCAACTACTTGAAAAATTATATCCCTTTTTTATACATTTTATTGAAAATTCATTGCTCTACAAAACATTCACTTACGATTGTAACTTACCAGTTTTAAAGATATTAACGATTGAAGTTTGTTTATTTTAAGGCAAACTTTTTTCTAATGAAATTTATAACTCGTTCAAAAAAATTTAAATTGCAAAACTCTTAATTTTGTAGAAAATTTACTGCTGTGCGAAAACGATCTCATATAATTTTTCGATTAAGTGAACCGTCTACGAGATCGTAGAACTTTAATGCCTAATTCCAATTTCAAATTGTTTTCTTTTTTTATTTAGTCATAAATTCACAAGAAAAAAATCCGCCATAAAATAATTGAACTTGAACTGTTAATGTCTTTTAAACGGGTAGGTTTACGAAAAACCGTAAGCGACGTTTTTAGAGCCTTCAATTTGAACAAAAATCTACGAAATGAATTATTTTTTCACGCACGAGGTGCTATACATTGCCAAACTGTCGATGTTTTGTAAAATAAAAATTAAAAAATGTTTTGCCATAACATCAAGAAAACATCGTGTATTTTCACTTTGAATTGCATATATGTATTTGAAAACATTCATTATTTTTCTTAATGTTACATATATATAAATTTATAGTTTATGTGGTTTTTAAACAAATAAATTAATTAATAATTCAATTAATAAACTATAATTTAGTAATTTATTTATTATTATTACATATGCATATATATTTTCTATATGCTTACTTACAACATATTTTATATGTTTTCGATAATATGTAATTTATGTAAGAATTTATTAATACGGCATCTAAAAAATGTACATTTTGTTATAAAACAAGAAAAGACACTGATGAGTGCTCAGTCTATGTTATGTGGAAAAATAAGCGCTTTTTTTATATTGTTTAGAAACAAAATTATTTTCCTTAACACTGGCATCCCACTAGTCTTTATAATTAAGAGAACATTAAATCATTTTCATTATGATTAATAATGTATGTAAAAGAATAATTTTTATAGATATGGCTTCAAAAATAACCTTTTATGGATGAATATTATTAGATACAATTTCTTAATTGCATACTTAAACTCCCCTTTCTATAGGTGGTGGCGCCCAAAATGAAGACAACTCACAAATATTCGTTATGAATAATTATTTCGGCATTGGCATTGATGCCGATCTTTGTCTAGATTTTCACAATGCACGCGAAGAAAATCCGAACAAATTTAATTCTCGATTACACAACAAAGGTTATTATGTTAAGATGGGCTTGCGAAAAATTGTTGGTCGTAAAACCGTTAAAGATCTTCATAAAGAATTAAAATTGGAAGTTGATGGCAAAGTAGTTGATTTGCCACCTGTTGAGGGGATTATTATATTGAATATTTTGAGGTAAGTAAATACAATAATTAAAAATGTATATATTACACATGTACAAAATACATTTTTTTTATTTATTTGTATTTTGTAGCTGGGGTAGTGGCGCAAACCCATGGGGACCAGATAAGGACGATAATTTTTCCACACCCAACCATTACGATGGAGTGTTGGAGATTGTTGGTGTTACAGGCGTTGTACACTTAGGGCAAATACAATCCGGTATACGGACGGCAATGAGAATCGCACAGGTTTGTTAATTAAATAGTATGTCAGTTTTTAAAAAGTTCATATCGTCACCTATGTAAAACGATATTTTTCATAAGTTTTCAGAAGAAAAAAAACGTGTAAACAGATAGTCTTCTTATTAAAAACAACAAAACTATAATACTCTCTTTAGCAACTTTGTTGCGAGAGTATAAAAATTTGAAATTAGGTTGCAAATTTGTGATATGTACATGATGGCAGAAATTAAAAATTTTGTAGATATATGTATGTATGTCATATTGTGTAGTGCATCATAATCAATAAGAAACTCAATTTAAATTTTTTTTTTGATGATACGATGTTTTGCACTTTAGGTGACGATATATTTTGTTATTGACATCCTCAGATACATATAACATTTTCTGTTAGAATCGAAATTAATTTAAATTTTTTATAGGGAGGTCATATAAAAATTCATTTATACTCGGATATGCCAGTACAAGTCGATGGAGAACCTTGGGTGCAAAGTCCTGGCGATGTTGTTGTTTTAAAGTCGGCTCTAAAAGTGAGTACATTAACAATTACATTCTGCAATGGAAATTATATATAGATTCTAGATTTTCTACTGCTTCAGTTTTAAACTTATAAATTTAAACATATTCATAGCTGTGCATGCAAAAGCTTTGTATTAATTCATGTCGTACATGTTGAATATCATTTATGAGTATGGTAAATGCATGCATATGCATATATACATGCTTACTCAAAACCTCCAAAATACTGTTAACTATACTTAGGGAACACGCCGCTTTAAATATGCTATTATTAGCACATCTAAAATAGTTAAGTTCGTAACTTAGGCAATTTACAATTTAGTATTTAATAAAAACCATTTATTTACCTTTGTTGCTTTTTGAATGTTATTAATTTATATCACGAATGAACCGTTTTTTCCGAAAAAAATCTATCATAGGTATCAAGCCGTAGTTATTGTTGGATTTGTCCCATTTTCATATTGTGACATTTGAATGTCATGGTAATACGATGCACCTAATTTATTTCAATTAGTTACTTTTATATTAGACCTATAGGGGCTTTATAACAATTTAAGTCACTCCATTCTTCGAAGAAATCCACCAAACATTTAGTTATTCTCTAACAACTTGTTGTTATAAAATATAATAGTTTTGTTGACCTAACGGTTGTAACGAGAGATAATGGCCAGGACGACGAGATGAGTTGAAATCCGGGTGGCTGTCTCCCTGACTGTCCGCCCGTGCAAGCTGTAACTTGAGTAAGAATTGAGATATATTAATAAAACTTGGGATGCGCGTTCCTTGCCAAAAAATAGAACGAGATGGGCGTAATGGGACATTGCCATCAAATACCATAACTTAACATTAAATTAAGATATGAAACTCTAAGATCGCAGTATCAAGCAGCACCTATGGACAAAATGTTTTAAAAAATCGGGCGTGATCCCAGAGATGGTATGAGAGGGTTTTAATGGAGCAGTGTCAAAATTTGGACGATCGGCGTGGCAGCGACCACTTTTAGGTGAAATCACATATCTCGAGACCCGCTAGACTAATTTCAACTAGATTTGTTTCTTGACATTCGTCTGAAACTTTCCGCCACTTTCCATATAAGAAAATTTTAAATTCCAACTGATTTTTTCACTTTCACCAAAAAGCAACTAAATATAACGGGATAAAACATTGCACGAATAATGCTGCTAGTGTATATCACCTTATAAACAAAAATTGTTCAAATCCAACAAAAAGTGTTGAAGCCTCTAGATACCAAATATTTGGACCCAGTACCTATAGTTTACTTTTGATCGAAAATATCGGTCAATGTGGACAATATATAATTGAAATTCATAGATAATCCTCGCTGATAATGAGAGATAATCCTCTGACAATGTCTGTATGTCGAAAATTGGTTGAATCGGACCAATACTTCCGCTAGTCCCCATATACCCAATATAAAGATTTTCGAACTTCCGGGTGACTTTGTATCGCATATATCGGCCAATTTGTAAGTCATCTCAATGAAAATGAAAATGAAAGATGCGCGTCTTTTACTCATAACAGTATATCTCTGTGCGAAAAATACATAAGTTTGAGCTAGCCCCTATATAACTAATATCAGGATTTTCGAACATCCGGCTGTCTTTACTCTATTTAATTGGTTGTTTAGTATGTGGCATGTTAATAGTACGTGGTATTGGGAATATAGATAAAATCGGGTCGATTCTACCCAAACCCCCATATACTACATAAAATTATTTTCGTTACATAACATGGTTTTCGTATATGCTTGGATTTCCGAACTTAACTTCTCCTTACTTATTTCAATATGTATAGGTACCGAATCATGTATGATACAAATGTAATTCGCACGTTTAACAATTTAACTAAGGTTTACATACATACATGTGTGTCAGTGTATGAGTTACATATAGTATATGTATTTCGATCATAAAATGAAAAGCACTAATTCTTTAGGTTGGCTTTATAATATCAATGCTACCAGTGTATGAGTGTTTGTATGTACATATATAAATGCATGGTATGCACATGTATAACTTCTGATAGTTGTATTATGATTTTAACATAAAATTCATTTTATTCATTTATCATTCAATTACATACATGTTTTTTTATAAAAGCAATCAAGCGGTCGTGGGCAACAGACTCTGTATTATTGTTGGTAACGATTCGTTGCTACTCAGCCCGACACCCATTTTTTTGTTTTTGAAAATCTTTTCTATTTACAATATGTTCGAAAATTGGAATTGTATCACCTATTTTTGCATACACTAATATGCATATACATGTTCATAATATAATAGATATTTTTTTAAATGCATTTTAATAGGCATTCATTTTTTGTTATACCCTGAATAGGGTATATTAAGTTTGCCACGAAGTTTGTAACACCCAGATGAAAGACTACGAAATATACATATGTATACATAAATAATTAGTATGACGAGCTTAGTCGATTTAGCTATGTCTGACTGTCTATCCGTTTGCCTGTTCCGTGCCGTTTGCCTGTATATCGACACGCTCACGTCTCTCTTGGCCTAAGAAGGCGATTATTTGTCGAAACCACCGATATTAGACCATGTATACGATACAAGTATTTAAAAAGCCATAAGTCAGCGGCAGCCAGGTCTAGGAACATATAACCTACGATGACCATTCGAAAGTGTTGTTTAACATACGTATATCCCACAAAATTTAATTTAATGGATTTATACATGCTTTATGTTTAGGCCATATGCTTTTTATAATGTAACTGTAATCTCTTAGTGGTTAACACATTTCTGTTTCGATCAAATTAAATGTACTGCACATTAGTTTAAAGATTAACATTTCCGTTCTGATCAAAAGGAAGTTAAAAATTATCACGATGTTGATTAATGATTAACAATTGTAATTTCGGACACTATTTTGCAGAAGAATTTGCATTGGCGCGACTGAATTTTAAAATAAAATGTTGCGATTCAAAGACAATTATTAAAATTAAACTGAGCATAATTTAGAAAAATCGTGTAAAATAGCCGATAAAAATATTGCGTGTTTGAGATGTCTTTATTTCATTAATTTATTTATTATATAAAAATTTTACAAGAACTATTTTATTTTCTGTGCCGACTTTAACATATTAAAAAATTAAGGTAACAATTCCAGAGAATTGAATGTATGTAATAAATCCAAATATTAGTTATTCAATTAGAAGAAATAAATATTTCCTAGAAAATAAAGTATTTCATTTGTATCAATAGTTGCATACTTCTGTATATACATACATTGTAATTTAATACTTTTCTATTTTGATTTCCTTAATTGTGAATCATATATGTATGTAACTAAAGACTAAGACTGGTCATTAGGTCAACAGATAAGTATTTAAGCTAGTTATATGACATCAAGTTGTTGAATATAAATGTTTATTGTTACTAAAAATTATTTATAAACTAGTCATAATAAACGGGATTGAATGATTTATTAGAAGATAAATAAATAAAATGTGTACGATTATACGTATATCTGGTCTACATATTCCCATTCCTTCTCTACAAATTTCCAATATAGGCCACAATGCTGAAAAAAAGTAGAGGTAAAAGACGCCTTACTGAGCCACATATTTCCCCAGCCGTACTAGCCAGTAGTTTATCAGCGTCAGCAACGGCATCTACTGCAGCATCACAGGCTACCATCCAAATAAATTCCTCTGGAAGCAGTGGTAGTGGACTCGGACAAGGACCAGAAAATGGTGATCGCGACCGCACAACTCCAATTGGCACATAGAGATCGTGCCCGTCTGGTCCAAGTTTTTTATTCTCTTGTTTTCTTTGATTACTAATATACACAACGCTATTTGACAACAAGAAAAATAACAATAAACAAATTAACTAACCAAAACAGAATGAAGATATGCATATTAGCAATTAAAACATCGCTGTAACAAATAGTTTACAGGACAATTGTGTATTGCGTTATAAAAATAATTGCATTTCTTATATAAACAATTAAATTTATTTAATAATAAATATTTTATTAATTAGACTAACGAATTGTTTTATAATAAAATTGCCGAAAATTAAATAATCTGTATATGATGCTTATACAAATAATTGTCTGTGTACACGTGACTTGAAGTAAATTGTTATTGCGCAAAGATTGGCAATAGAATTTTGAAATTGCAAAATTTTTACAAACATGCACATGTATGTGAGGCAAAAACTGTAAAATCTTTACGAGCGAGTGCAGATTCTCATTATCATTACTTTAACACACTAAAACATGCTCTTTTCCTCTTTTATTATACATATACAATTCCAGTATCTTGAAGATTTACATACATACATATTAGATTATACATACATACATAGTATTCATGAAAGAAAAAATAAGTTGAAAAGTATTTTATTACTTCAATAGTTTTGATCAAGATTGGATTTTTGTTTGCATGTACATACTTTATACATCAATTACAATTCGATTTAATACATATAGTAGAGCTTAATAAAAAAGTACATAATATCATTTTCAAATTCAGTACTGTTACTTTTTTAATTTTGTATTGCTTGCGTGTTTTAATTTGTATAAAGTAAACGAAAAAATTACCCAGAAAGTTAAGGGCAATTAATAGTTAAATTAAAAGTATGGCTATATTTATTATTTATTTAAAAGTTGCTACTGTAGTAAATATGGTTCCACTGCACTTCCGTATAGGCCGAATGCAATCATCTTAAACGTAATATTAAAAAAAAAATTTTTAAATTTATGAAAAGAAGTCATTATATAAACTGTTTGACATCATTATACATATGTATATTCATATATATTGTATTTTTAATGTAGTATGTTTGGTATTAGAATTAGAGCTGCCCTCATTTTATTAAATTTATTAATGTATATGATAGATTTTTGTTATCAATAGTTATGATACTTTTTATAAATTTTTTATTAATGGTCAACAATACATATCGTATCTATCGTATATGCTATGCTCTATCTGCTTGCTTGTGAAATACATCGCTTTGGGTTTGATAGTTGTATTTCTTCATATAACACAAATGGATTATAGTCAAGTATGAATGTACTCATATGTATGTATGTAAAGGGCTTGGTTAATATTGTTGCTGACTTTTGTTGTCTTGACTATCCTTTAATAATTACATATATCACAATTATTTTCAAAAATTATTCAAATACATATTTAGTATACAAAAGCTCCTCAAAATTGTTTAATCACATTTTATATTGTTTGTTTTTCCTTAACAAAATCTCAATATATGTTTGGAAATTAATTACATAATTGATATTATATAAAAAAACGTTAAAAATCTCTCGGGAATCAAAAAAAATATAAATAAAAACAAAAAAATATTAAATAAATTTAAAATCGTTTAACATTACCTAATCTCTTCACCGACCTCAAAAACTTCTTATTACTTGTAATAAAAAATAAACCGAACGGAATTTTATGGAATCACTGCGAATTTCTAAAATAACTGGAATAAATTCCCATTAATATGTTTAATAATAACAACCATAATAAAAAACACTACAACTATTATGTCATAAATGTACACCGCTTATGCACAAGGCCACAATGTTGAAGAAAAACAAAAGTAAAATGAAGCGACGCAACACAGAGCCTACAATGACACTTACCGGTTCAGCAACACCCCATCTCTCACTAATGCCAGTAACCGCAATGGGGACCGCCAGCGACAATAGCGTCGGCGATACAGATGCTGAGAATACACCGAACAATACCGATTTCTGAATATGGTACAATGAGCGATTAATTTAACGTACTAACTAATGTGAGTTTTTTTTTTTTAATATTCAAATGTGCTTGAACATATATATTATAACTTATTTGGGTTTCATACAAATATCAATGCATAATAAGGACAAACATTCCAAATTTAAATTTATGCTCTTTGTACTTCCATATTAGTTTCATTAAAATTTTTTTTTAGACTATTGACTTCCAAAAAGATATATATATAAAACGAAATAATTTTTAGCCGGAATTATTGAATCAAAAATATATGTATGTACATATATGGATAAAAGCTCACATACCTCCTACGCCTTAGTTAAGTTATATAGTTATATGGCACGGATATGTGCGTAATATATTTCAGCCTATGTGGTAAAACAAAAGTAAAGTGAGCTCTCAAATTTTTTTGGAGTACAAAGTGGTTATTTTAATCATATTCAAAATAATAAAAATTCCGTTAGAAATCTTTATAATATGACTAATAGTACGTTAAATGGGAGTCGCTCTCTGATTTGCAACTTATCTTATTTGCTTCGAATATTATAAAGAGCCACTAGTTTTTACTACAATATGTTGTGTAAATTATAATATTAAAAGAAAATATTTTATTTTTCATTAAAAACTGAATGCAATACATTTGTTACACGAAAACTCTTATGTAAGCACAATATCATCAAGAAAAAATATACATAATATTTTTAGTACATTTGAAATATAATTTTGGCTTATTTTGACATTACTTATGTGCATATGTTTTTCCGCCCAGATAATCCAATTTCAAAAATGATTTCTTATATTATATTATATATATATATGTACATATGTATCTAGTTTGGTTTAGTTTATGCATTAAATTTACTTCATAAGCGATATTTTAGAAATTTGTAAATATCAAACACTAAATTATGTGATTTACTCAAGTCAGACGAATATAACTTACATACTTACGTATGTACATATATATTAAAAATTGTCTCAAATACGTGCATTCGTAAAAACAAAGATTATATGAAATAAGGAATGCTTTGAATGCATACAAATTATATATGCAAATTTTAATTTTTTTTTTTGCGATACTTATAGACGTTGGTTGATATTTTCATATACAGATTCATATTCACGTAAAATGAAAACAACGTATATAAATAAATTCCAAATTTTGTTGCCTGAGAGTCACGGAAATCAGACAACATCATTTAAGCATTCATATTTACACTCCTAAAACATAATTCCGATATGCATATATAAAGTTTATTATTAAAAGCTACATAAACATTAATATACACTAAACATCTAAGCAAGTGTTAAAAAGGTATATATAGATATATTGTAGTGAGTAAGCAGATATTGTGATAAATCGCCTCCACCTGTTATGATTAGGGGCTCAGTAAATGTGGTGCAATCAGCCGCTCATTAGAATTCCGTGAACATTGGTTACAACACACTAAAGACAAAGTCGATATTTCAATATTTCTTGCAATTTTACCGAACAAAAGAAAATATACGCAATGGAATTATTTACATTATTAATAATACGAACAACGCGCACTGATAAATTGGTCAATAAGTAAAAATTGCGAGATATGTTGATAAGTGTTTTATAACCAACAATTCGATTAACCGCATTCACAAAAAATCTGCAGCTGTTTGGCGATTTTAAAACAAAAATTTAATTAATCGATTTGGGTTTTTATTAAAAAAACATGCGTAGTCTAAGTGAAATAAAAAGAGAACTCTTCTACTTTAGGAAACTCAAGAAACAGAAATAACTAACAGTTCAATAAATACTATCAATATATGCAAATATTTAAAGAAATCCAAAACATAATTACCAACAAAATTTGACCTACTTACTAAAAAAGAAAACTTAAAAATTAAAAATTGGTGTAGTGTGTAGTATTAAGACATATAACCAATTATGGTAGAACACATTATTAACTTAAAACCATAAATTGACAAATGGAAAATCTATTTGTATATACATATGAATGAGTATTACATATAATTTGAAATTAATGAAAACATTCACGCTGTTACACAATAAAAAGTTATTTCCTTGTTTTATTTCTCATAAAGTCCTTCACAAAAATGCATTATTTTAATTACTTTCGAATCAACTAAATAAAAACAGCTTCGAGTTTATAGGAACATGCATATGTGTTTACGTGTTAGAACGTCCATACATATGTATGTACATATGTATATACACTATATTTGAAAGTGTTCACTGTTAAAGAGTTCATTGTTACATATGTATGTATATACATGTCTACATGCACAATATGTACTATAAATACTAATAGAATGTTGAATGACAACAAAATAATATGAATGAACAAAGGTATTTACAATGCTGCATACGTATATATGTATTAATGGGGAATTACCTAAAATATGAGAATGTCACAAATCATTAAATGTGAAAACATCAACTTTATTTACCGAACCAAAAAAACTTATTTGAGGTACTAAATCATAAAACTATCTGATCAGTTATTAACAAATGAATTATGCAATACATAAGCATATTGCTAAAGTAGAAAGTACGCTTTATATGAGTTATTGCGTCAAAATGTTTTACAATTGATCACAGACTTTTACCACAATAATTAATTGCATAAAATGCATATGTATGCATATGAGTATGTATGTCAAATACTTGAACATGCATACGTACATACTTATACATATAATACATATTTACTTATGTGTACAGCAACATTGATGGAACTTGAAACACCATTGAAATACTACATGACATCCTAAAAGTTATTGAAAAATGCGAATTTGCAAATAGAAAAACATAAAATCATAAAACTACAAAATAAATGTAACTAATGACAAAACAAATAAAGCTTAATGGAATTTCAGTCGGGTATATAAATACACATACGTAAATGAAGTGAAGAGGGAGTTGGTAAGTAAACAAAGCTGTTGCAACCTTTCCAAAATTCTAATTAAATTCAAACGGTTTACGAAAAATCTTGATATTTTTTTAAATCAACTTACGTACTTACGGTTTTCAACTCAATTGCATTTTGGTTGAAGTTTGGAAATTCAGCATTATGTTTTTCAACTCAACCCATCAAAAAAAATCGATTGAAGTGTTGTCAAACTTTAACTGTTTTGGCATTACGGCATTTCGAAAATGGTTAAAAAGAATTATTTAATTTATAATTGAAAACTATTTTTATCAGTTATTAGTAAGAAATCAATAGAAAAGTGAAAATTTTATTGAACTCGTAGAGTAAAATCACTAAACTGGGCGAAAGAAACTACAATTTGGAATCATTGAAATAAATGAGGGGATCGTCAGAAATGTTTGGAACAAAGAATCAATTATTTCTTGGAGTAGATATAATTCTTAAGTAAAATTAAAATTTTGAAGTGTTTTTCTTCTCTTGAGTCATAAGTGTGTGAGGGGTCCATAGCGTACAAATATTGTGTTCATAACATTTAAAAGCAGGTTGTATAAAAGCCATTGATATCGTAGGTTATTCACTTCAAAATTAAAAGCATATAAAATGCATTCTTGGTAACTTATAAATCTGCAATAAATATTAGTTAAAAGTCAATAAAACTTTTGCTTACTTGGTGTTAAGAAGTTTGAATGAGTGATTAGGAAGGCATTTTCTTATGCGCGGCACATCAGTTTTGTTCCTAACATTTTTGTCTTCGTAATATTATAAAGTAAATATAATTAAATTTTCAGCTGTTTAATTATCTGTCAAATCTTAATTTTTTAGATTTCCAATACGAATCATTTCGACCGAAAATAGTTGAAAATCGTAATTCCAAAACAGAGTTGGGCTGACTGACGTTGAATTGCTCTAACTTTAACTAAATCGAGTGGAGATGAAAACCGTAATAGGGGTATTAGTAATTAGCTCAAATGAGATAAACGTTACATAAATCGGTACATTGTGTCTAGAGGAAAATCCATACTGATTGCACTAACTTTTGAGATTACTCAAGTATAGTAGAGAACATGTATAAACTCAGCTTTATGCATATAACTCGCCCACAGACTGACATTCATAATTGATTGTAGTAAAATACGGTGCATTGTTTTACTCCGATAACTTCATTTGTGCTTGATTTGTATACTGTAGAGAGAAATAATCACATTGGTAGACAATTGCGATATGGTAGTAAGGAAGAACTAAGATCTAAGGTATAACCGAATATTTTATACTCTTACAACCGTGGAAATACTTTCAAGTGTTGGCAAAACCATATTTGTATTAAAAAATGTTGCGATAAAATTCAACGTTCATTGTTCGACGAAACCGAGTGGTTTACAATCAAATTTTATTATTTACTTACAATATATTATAAGCCATAAACTAAATTCATTTTACAACTATATTTTACTTGCTGTACATTGTATGTGACATAAACAGAATTATGAAAAAAACTCAACCAGAGGATCGGAATTCTTTATG